TTCCATATCACGGGAATGACACGCGGCCCACAGCCACCCCTCGAATTCGCCAATTATGCTAATCATTACAATTACAATCATTAATATCTAACAGTAGGTACGACAAACAATTACGACAGTACGGCCACGAAACATGTGTGTCTTGTATGTGTGTGTGTGTGTATGTGTGTCTCTTCAATGTGTGTTGTATTTTATCCTACGCAAACCGTCTGATTGCAAAATCGACTTTCGTTAAAGCTTGTTGGGATTTTCCTCTTAAAGGGTTCCTAGGGAATCGTTCTCCTGTTTGTCCCGTTTGTTCTCACGGTAATTAGTAACCTTTCTTAACTCTTCTTCTACGGGATAGTAGTAGGACAACGTTTATTTCAGCAAAATTACACGAGAAAAGCGACAGACATACTACCACAAGCGACGAAGAGATGAAATTTCGCTAGAGGATTCAAGACATTTTCTTATTTATTGCTACGGTAATCTGAGTTCGAGAGAAGATTAGGACAGAGGTCTAGGGAAACACACCTACGATTAATAATTTTGCTGAAATACTTTAGCTAGTGGAAACTCCTCGCCTCGTTTGTCAAGCAGCCCCCATTTAGGAGAATGTCGGGGGTGAAAAACGAAGCAGCTTTGCGAACGATACGACCAGTGAGAAAAATTCATATATTATATTTTCAATAATTTCTTCTCGTGTCATCTGATTAGAATCAACCCCTTAAATTCACCCATTCGATTCATTATGTAGTTCTAATATTGGTCTTGTGACACTGAAATCTTTTTAACAATCAATGTGCAGATTTTTATATCATTGACAATTTAACATGATCGTTCATTTATACGTAAAGTAAAAAATTGTACTATATCATTCGTTCGAATCGTATGACAGCAGAGAAATGATTGAAAATATAATAACAATTTTTCTACTAATCGCGTATCTTTTTACGGTGTTCCGCCACATATCCTTTGGCAATTCTTGTGTCTAACATTGTACACACTATTACACAGACGAAGCTAAACGCTGAGAAATCGTTCGCATTATACAATTTTTGTTCACGTGTATTTATATCTATCCATCTATCTATACATACTATGTTTCTTGCTTGGCTTAAAATCGTTTTAGAATAGACACCGAAAAGACATCGAGAGACTCGAAGGAAGGTTTGAAATAGGAGAGATTAAAGTTTCCGTAACCGGCTATTAACGTTTCAAAGATCGCCTGGCTATAATTAACGAGTGTCGAGCTATTCGTTTATTCCATTTACTCTCTACTTAATCTCGTCTCCTCTGTACACGAATCACGCGCGTTTGTCGGCGTGTATCCACAAAGAGATCGGAGAGGTCACGCGGGTGCCTGTGTTCCTGTGTTTGTGTATCGTGTGCGCGGAATACAGGGTAAGGCGAAGTAATCTATTCTTTGCGAGCGAATAGAAAAGTTATCGTAAAGCTTATCGCAATTTTGATGACAAAAAGAGTGTGTGATTACTGGTTCAGTTGGTACATAAGTGAAGATTGTACGAGTTCAAGATTAATAAAGATTAGTAACAGATCGATAAGATTAATGCTCTATGTAAGATTGCAAGGAACATATATCAAATTTATTCTTCTGTTCTTTCCTAATTACTCTATCATCAAAATTTTGACAGCACAGCTTTTCTACCCATTCGTAAAATAATAAAATGATCTGTTCTTACTCTGTATCATTGTACTACCC